CATCTAAACCTTGTTACAATGAACTTCTTGTTGGCATTTGCTTGATACATTAAAACCTTGAACTGTTCATGAAACAGTTGCCACAGATCTTTGCTAACTTATTGACATGAGCTGTAGGTTCCTCCAAATACATGAACTGTTTGCATCCAAGTTCTGCACATTTGCATATATGAGAGTGTACCTTAAGTTGGCATAATAATAACTTGTATTATGTCTAGTTTCTACTTATTAATTCCCTCTTCTTAGTAATAATCATTTAATTAAACCTTCCCGCTAAATGGACACCACAATGATTGTATTAAGTCAAGATCTTGATTCTTCTTATTTTTATTCTCAGGTCTACAAAATCATAAATGCAGGTAACAAGCTGTATCATAATGACATAATCTAAAACAATTTAAACTATGCATAAGCAGATCTGGCTTCAAATTTTCTTGGCATCTTAAGATAACTTCCTGAATATAGCATACCTCTTGATATTTTGTTGCAATTTCAGAAATGACATCAGAACCAGTTAATAAGAACAGCAAGATAAAAGTGCAATGTGATTTTTCGTCCATTTTTATGCATGCTTTATGCGAAAGGTAATTAAAAAATTGAAAAGAGCCTTTTAGAATCTATATTTCGACTAACTAAGAGTCTTGTGGTTTTAGGTAATTCATACCAGGTCTAATTAAATCTCAGTTTAATCCGATTGTAATGCATCTGGTGGTATCAATGTCATGCTTGCATCGATAGCACATAATTGTACTTAATGATGAATTGAGCAACCATTTCTGAACATAAACTGATAAATCTCCTTCCAATGCTCTTAGCAGGTGGTTAAAGCTTAACTTTAAATGTTTGACAAGCTGTCACTTAGCAATGAGCCTTTGAAAAGCTTCACTCAAAGGAATAGACCTCTTCATGGATCCATAGCAAGTGTTCACCTATCTAGTATCTGTAAATGTTTGTCAGAAGCCATGGCTGAGTTCACAGCAAGGTTTCCCTGAATCAAGACAAGACACAGAGGCCTGTGTTGGTCTGCTACCAAGATAGATATAGCTTGTGAAGTGTGGGCTTTTCTTGGTGACAAAGAAGGCATTTGCACCAACCATGTGATGATGACAATGCTTGCTTGGCATTTTGCAGGCATTTCATTGCCAGCTGCTGTAGGCGGATCACACACTGTGCTACATGAACATATATCAGCAAAAGAAAAGAAAACAGTGTGAAGTAGCTTGTTGCTGTAGATGGGATCACATATTGTGCTGCAAGAACAGAGATGAGGGAAAGAAAAAAATCCATATCAGAAAACAGTGAACTGCTCAGGCCTATGATCACTGCAATCTCTGCAGATTGCTGAACATTTGGGTCATTCAAAGAAGAAAAAGAAAAGAGCCCTTTTTTTCTTCCATGATGTAAAGTGAGTTATCGACAGTAAAAGAATGCAGGAAAAGTGAAATATCAGAACTTTTGTAGGTGGTTATTCCATGAATGCAAATTGCAACACCTCATGGGTTCAGAATTCAGATTAGATGGGAAAAGTAATGGCTAAATCACTGGTACCATGAAATGATCCTGGAACCTGAGAATTGGTGTAGATATTTGGAGGAACATAAAAAGTCCAAAAATTAATTTTTTTAATTGTAGATAATAGAGACAGAATTTGTTTGTGTCATCATCTATATTTGTTATATTCTTTTCCTTCGTTTGATTTGCTTTTCAACAATGACAAACCCAAATGTTCCAAGTATTTATTGTCAATCAATTTCAGCAATAACTGATAAGAAGATATTTGAAATACCACATTAAAGAAGGAATTGATTGATATCAAGAAAAACATTTCATTAAGTCAGATGTGTGACAAAATGAAAATTTAAAATATTTTTCATTCACAACTTGCCAAATCACTTTAATACATGCTAAGTTTAATCATTATGATGACAACAAATAAGCTATCATATCAATCATTAATAGATTAATGCTTTCATATTACACCAACAAGCATTAACATATAAAACTTTGAAATGTGTTATATTACCTATGAATCTATCTTCTATTGATATATATGCCACTTTTCTAGAATACAATATCTTTAACTTCCTCAATGATATCTAGCCAAGTAGCTTGCTGATCTATATCTAGGAGAATTTTCTCATAAATTAGTGTTAACATAGAATGTATTAATATCTAAAGCACCTTGTATCACTATCATTTATTTGATTATCATAAATATTATTTTAAAAGGTATACATTTGTAATATAATTTACATGGATATTGATGTCAATTGAAATTCCAACAATATTATATTTGATGGTTAATTTAGGGGAGATTAATTTTATTGACATATTTGTAAGATTTTTTTTTGTTTTATAGGGATAGAAAAATGCTGCATCTAAAATTAGAAAAGTCAATAAACTTTTAATCATGATTAATTATAATTAACATTATTTAAGAAAAAAATAAACAAATATATAAATACTAAAATATATTTAATTTTATTAATCATTCCAATTCTTGAAAGGGTATGAATGTAATTTAGAGTTACAACTAATAGTCAAATGGTGGAGCAGCTGACAAAGCAATATCCGAGTAAGAACGTGGTGGTGCTGGCAACTGTGGGGATCGGCGGCATCGGAAAGATCACCCTCGCTCAGAAGGTGTTCAGTGATGGCAAAGTCAAAGCCAACTCCGGCACCACCATCTGGGTGTGCGTCCCAAGAGTTCAGCGAGACGGATCTTCTCGGAAACATCATTGAAGGTGCTGGTGGAAAATATAATAGAGAACAGAGCAGGAGTCTGCTGGAGCCCTTGGTGGAGGGTCTCCTGAGAGGGAACAAGTTCTTGCTGGTGTTGGATGATGTTTGGGATGCTCGGATCTGGGACGACTTGCTCCGCAATCCTTTGCAGGGAGGAGCAGCAGGCAGCAGGGTGCTGGTGACCACCAGAAACGAAGGGATCGCGACGGCCCACGTCCACGAGATGAAGCTGTTGCCTCCGGAGGATGGCTGGTCCCTCCTGTGCAAGAAAGCGACTATGAATGCAGAGGAGGAAAGGGATGCCCAAGATCTCAAGGACATAGGCATGAAGATTGTTGAGAAATGAGGAGGGCTTCCCCTGGCCATCAAGA